ATAATAAAAAATACAAGCTTCAAACACGGCTACAACTCAATTATCAAGAATATATATACAATTTATGTATCAGTATATATATTTTGCATTAAAAATTTAATAATAAAATTGAAAAATGCAAGATGATAAAATTATCATACATGCCACGATTTGTTTACAATGATATTCACTTTAATTCCTCATGATAATACAGTTTAACAACATGTATTTTTTGCATTAAAAATTTATAAATACATTTTTAATGGAAAACTGCATTAGAAATATAATACAGTTTAACAACATGTATTTGTTAATGTATTTTTTTGCATTAACAACAAATTAAAAAATACAGTTTTGCATTAAAAAGGTAATAACATGTATTTTTTTGCATAAATAATCTGTCAATCTGTAATTTTTTGCACTAAAAATTTAACAATAAAAATTAAAAAATACTGTTTTATTTCTCATGATAATCAAAACCTGGTCACGATTTTCACAATTTTTCAGAAAATTATGATTTTTCAAAAAAATTGATCATCAATTTAAAAAAAAAAACGCGATTCTTCACAGACCCAACAAAACTAATTATGGAAGGAGATTCAGATATGTCACTCATTGATGCAATTGTGCTCAAAAAATACAATGGCTTAGACTCTGATGAAACTAAAGAAAGTTCGAGAGATGAAAATAATCTATTCAACAGAAAAGAACCAATATGCTAATTTTGTACAAATGACTTGGACAATTTTGTACACTTGCTCTTTTACATCAACTTTGACAAAAATTAATGAAAATCTCAAGTTAATGTTGAAAACTAAGGAAATATCAATAAATTCTAATTTTTTTCACCACTATAATAAATATTATGAAATTTATTTAAAAAAATAAAATTACTAGTACACAATCAAACAAAAACTAGAGACCACATGTTAGACAAACATGTTCTCCAGATATATAGAAATCCAACAAGGAAAAAGTTTATATAAGGTTGCAACTATAAGCTGTAGAATTAAAGATGCACCACAAAAATGCATCGGAAAACTTGTTTTCATTTTGAAAAACCCTCTAATTGATCATTTCAACATCGAGATATATGAATATGACAAAAAAAAAAACGGGATTTTGAGTCCCAAAAATAATGCATCTTGCAACACATTATCAAGACCGTCCCTTTTAAAGATTTTCATATGTTTATAGATCTACTTGATTTTAACCATTTTTGGAGTTTAAAATTTTGTAATTAAATATGAAAATAGATTTTCAGATAATCCAAAGAATTTTTTACACTAAAATTGCATGTTATGATAAAATTTAAAGGTGCATTTTAATTGGATTGTTTAAGGTTGCAACCTTGTAGAAACCACACCCTTATCTAAATTATTATACTCTAAAATATTCATGCCCTAATCATGTTCCTCTAGTAATCTCCTCCTCTATAATTTTCTTTAACCACATTGTAGACTGTACCAAAAACATTAGTTCTTATTTCCTTTTAATTTTCTTTTGATTGTATTACAAAGCAGTAAACGATTGCCAGTAATAAATTATTACACACCTTACTATGCAAACCATCCATTGCATGTGCAAATAGAGGTTGCAAAATAAAAGGTGTTTACAGAATTGGTCTCTTAAATAAGTGGGGCAACTGTCTGGGCCAAAAATAAATGACGGAAAAAAATAATGATAATAATAAGAAGATAAAAAAAAAAAAGGCATGCGGGGCTAAACCGGGTGGACACTGACCCTAATCCAGCCCTCGGGCCACAACCTAAGCCCTCCTTTTTTAGGGCCAGGCCGCGCCGCCTGGTCCATTTCCAGGCCTACTTTTTAAATACTTTTGTCTGAGTTGCAGTTCAATGTACTTGCCAAAAGTCCTTTAAAAAAAAAAAAAAGAAAAAAAAAAAAAAAAAAAGAGAAAAAGGAAATTAGCGGTGTTTATTACTGTCTTTATTTGGCAAAAAGACCAATGTTTTGGTGGGATGGACACAAATTAAATTGGAGATTCTATAATTTGAACCGCAGATGCCATGCATTAGTAAGGTTTCTATATTGGGTACTGGTCATTTAATTTTAACATCTATTCACCAGTAACTAAATTTGGAAAGGAAAGAAGAAGACAACAGCTTGGAAATTTAATCTCCCCATATGGATCTTTCCTCTCTTCAATTATAAACTTTCCATTTACTTTATAAGGCCAGTGCTTAAGCCATGGAAAACAAAAAGGAAAAATAAAGATCTCTTAGTAGTTAGTACTCTCTCTCTCTCTCTCTCTTGTTGCTCTAAATCACTCTGGTTTGTCAACAAACCACTTTGTTCCATTTTATTATTATTGTTTGCTTGTCTAAGAACTATCTAACTACTTTTTTTATTGAAATTATCAGGTTTGATATAAGAAACTGAAATGGACTTCTGTGGAAAGAGGAAGAATGCCTCATTCATGGTTTATATGAATGGAGTTTTGTTGTTACTATGTGTTTTTTCTACAGGTTAGTCTCCCTCACTTGAAGTCTACTAAAACCATGGATTTTCTTTGGGGATAAGATGCTCTTTTCCTTGCAAATATTGCATGTTTTAGCATGGTGACATGAATGTATTTTTATGGTTTTTGGACAAGCTTTCTACGCTTCCCCTACAGCATAAAACTATATATTTTCCCTTATCCAACCCTCCAGTGCCTCAATCACAATGTCACGTCTTTACACTATTTTATTTTTATTTATTTTTTTATAAACTATTTTGACACCAAATTTTGGATGTCTAATCCTCTATTAAATTCGCACTAACGAAAAAATATAAAAAAAATATTTTCAATAAAATAAAATAACTAAAATATCTCTGAAAATTTTAAGGCGTATTTTGGTCATTATATTTTATCGAAAAATTATTTTTAATATTTTTTATAGGTAACCCAATGAAAAGATGGCATGTAC